TGGTTTGAACACACACATGTGATTGGGGTTAACTAAATAATATCTAATAATTAATAAAATTAAATAAAAAATGGGAATGTTCATCTCATATCCATGAATTTGTTTTTGAAATTTCATAAACTATAAATGTAACATTACAAATTATGAATATTTATCATTAAAAAGCTCTCTTTTGAATAATAAAAAATGCAAAAGTTCAATTTAATTAATCGGTTGAGGCTTAATTTTAGTTTCCCTAAGTCAAATGCCAAACATCAAACATCTCCAAAAATTTAGAGAATTTTATTAAATTATTTGATATTCTTTATAAATTTTCAATTCACTTTTGATAATTATTAAAAACAATAAAATAATTTTAAGACCTTAATATTTAGGAATATATTTTGCATTAATTATAGACATTTGGAAGTTATATCAAACAACTAACCATGGGTTGATCAGTTTTCCACATTTTCTAAATTATTTCTTATTTTTATTAATTGTTCATTAACTAAAAAAATAGGGTCTAACTTTGACTATATGTTTGAGCCTGATTTATTTCAAAATCTCAAGATCAATCATTAAATTTTAAATATTAATCTCAAATTTAAACACTTCTAGGAATTTGAGTACTTTAAATATCTAATAATTTGTGAATTTTCTAGCAAATCTCAAGATTAATTTGAAAATTTAAATATTCAAATCAAAATTTCATTTGATCTGATACAAGTTTGCTCATAGCAAAATTTTCTATAGATCACTATACACACAAAGACACACTTGTGTTTTGTTCTAACAAATTTGGGTTGATCCTAGGGTTCCTAGGGTCAATCTAGGTTGATTAGCTTTTTAACATTTTATATGTCTTAAACATGTGCATTTATCACTTAGTAGTTATATTAAACATTTATCTAAGATTATTGCACCCGCACCTTAGTATCTTAATTAATTTAAATAATTTAATTTCAACTTGGTATATCTTGATTGGGCTTTTAAAATAGGTCAAGCCGTAAACTTCATCTTTTGAGCACATTAGTTAGCTTGCCACTATTTATGATAGCCAACCTTAGCTCTTTATAGGTCCAAGAAACTCTATAAGTCACAACACTTATTTAACATACTTGTAAAATTATTTTTTTCAACCCTTTCTAAGTCAATAGTATGAATTTTACTAACCTTATTGACATCATAACTTAATGTTACTCGACAATTTAGTTATATACTTTTAATTGGGCTTAACCATCCCATTTTGGTTATGCATATCCACAATCTAGTCTTGCTTCATTAATTATGCTTTCTATTTCTCTCAGTAACTTTTCTTATTGGAATTTTCATAGTTTGGTCATGCCCTTATGTCCACATCTATCCTTAGTATAATCATGCCTCTTTAACTATAGTACTTACCCTATTAGCCATACCCTTTTGATTGAGGAACTCTTTAAACTAGCTATGTCTTTTGATAACTTTTATTCTTAGTACAATTATGCTCAAGTAATCATGCTATCTTGTTATGTTCATGCTCTTTTAATAAGAAAAGGCTACACTACTCTTTGGCATAGCTATGCTCTTTTGATTAAGTCATTTCCTAGTAAAATCATACTCTTTTGATCTTACAATTCTTGTTTTAGCAGCCTTCTTATAGGACCTTTTTTCTGGTTTATCCATACTACATTTGGCTAGATTCAATATTATCTTATTCATACTCTTGTGACATAGTCATTATGTTGGTTAATCATGTTCTATATCAAATAAGCTAGTTTTAGGTATACACATAATTAATTCATTCCATTTCTTGTGAGTAAATTATCTCTATATGGACTTACCTTGCATTATATATATTTATAACTCTTTCTGAATTATGAAATATTTCAATCTTTTAAACATTAGTGTCATTCATAAGCATTGGATCTTGAACTTGATGTTTGATAATTTCAACTATCATCGCTACATGTTATATTGATGAGTTTGGTTAGTGAGTGATAAGGTAGTTTGAACCTATCTAATTTCAAGACTTGGCATATGGTTCTACTTCACATGTTACTAGCTAAATAAAGGATATTTGTGAGTTGATTATTTATTTGGTTATGCCATACTTATTTATGTGTTATAATGGCTCCATTTAGCAGATTGGCTTTTATTGTGCTTTATTCAGTCTAAAATAATGTTGTATATATAACATGATATAAGCAAAGATTTCTAATGAAGTGCATATCCAAATTCTTGAGTTCCTTCCATAGTACTAAGCATATAAGTATACATTTGAACTAGATAGTTAGGACCCACACCATAGAGACTAGAAATGCTTATACTTTATTATTAAATTTCATTTTTAAATATAATTAGGAGTTTAAAAGAATGTATAGGCTCATTAAAACATTCAAATGCCCAATAAATAGTTCAGGATCAAGTGCATCATAATCAGTATATGCTAACTTTCATGTTATTCATTTGAAGAGGTTTGTCAAATATAATTTAAATGATAAAGATAGTGCTTATGGTTAGTAAAATGTGGTCTTAACCTGATAAAAACAATCCAAATAAGAACCACCAAAAGCTCGTTGACAACTATTTTAATGTATTATAACATTCCATATAAGATGAAAAACAAAAGTATTTTAATTTAGGCCCCCCCTGAATAAAATTTTTGGCTCTACCACTGTTGTATATATATATTCTTGATAATAAGCATATGCCAATAGAAAATAAATATAATAAATGATTAATAGATATTATTTAAAAGTAATAAAATAAAATAAAAATTATATGAAGTTCAACTAAGGTTCTAAGATGATTCTTCCTTAAAACTAAGCTAAATGCAAATGAACTTATCAGTTAGAAAATTTCTATCATATTTATTGACAAACTTAGCATATTTTCAACTTTAATTATATTATCTTTCTTTCTCTCACTTCTAACAGTGTTATGCCTCTGGATAGAGAAAGCTAAACCACTACAGCTTACATTCAGACCAAAAATTTCAAAGTAATAACTCTCAATAATGACAATAAAATGACATGACACCTAACAATGATTACAAATAGAACAAGCAAATGAACCTTTTTTTTTTGAAAGGAATCTGATGAACTGATAGTCATAAGAGACAGAGTGATCAGTTGTGTCAGGTCATCAGATATTCAACCACCTCATGGGTATTCTGATCTTCTCATATTTTCTTTTTAAATGAAGTGAAGCTTAAGCTTATCAACATATTAAGATTTCATTTGTGATGATTTTCATATTGCTTTTTGAAATAATTTTCTAATATAATATTTTTTAATTTATTTTTTTTTTACTTGAAAACAGTTTTAAAAAGTAGTAATAAAGCCCTCTCAAACAAAACCTAAGATTATTTTTTGGGACGACTTTCTTTCTACTTCTTAAAACAACATTTTAGTACAAAATTAAAATTTTTATACTAAAAAGTTACTTTAATAAACAATAAAAAAGCCGTTTTTTTAAAAAATAAAGATGAATTTAATAAAAGATTGTTTAAAAAAAGTACATGCATACCTAAAACATTTTTTAAAAAAATATTAAAAATAACTTTTTATTACATTTAAATAAAAATTTAATTATTAATAAGGCATAGCAAAATAAAAAAAAATCATATAACCAATCCACATAATAAGATAAATGCTTGATATTATTATTGTATAATAAAAATGCCACAAGCTTCTAACATCACAACAATCAGGTAATTTTTTTCTTCTCATAGTATTAATCATTCATTTAAATAAATAATATATTTAAATTTTATAATATCTTATATTTTTTATATAAAATCTTCATTTTTCTTATTTTCAAAACCATTTTATACAATTATTATGATTTCAACATATTTCAAAAGATTTCCTTATCTTCAAAATAACCATAAATAACTCACTCATACATTATATAAAGCTCTCAACAAGGAAAATTAATTGATAGCTTGATGAAATTTAGATTTCGTTTGGCAAATTTTTTTTATCATTTTCTAAAATAATTTTTTAAAAAATTGATTGAATTAAAAATTTTTCTAATAAAAATTTATTTTTAAAAATAGCAAAAAAACACATCCCAAAGCCTTAATGCCACTTGTCATTAAACAAAAAATTTCCCCTACCTGCTACTAAGTCAGGAACTCAGCACAAATTTTTTCAATAAAATTTCAAATTCCCAATAAACTGAACAAAATAAAAAAAATTAGCCGACTCGTCAGCCATGTAGGGGTAATTATTTCATATATATATTGATGACGATGAACCATCCGCTGCCACGCTCGGCAAAAGCCGAGCGCACTTGGCGGCCCGTAAATCCTGACCGACCTACCGGGTCACCCACGCCTAAACAAGACATCATAACTTGCATGATTTACATTGTACTTAGGATTTAGAACAGGCTTCTTAAAGTGCCTTTTTAGTTAAAAAAAATTTAATTTTTATAATAAAAAATTATTTTAAAAAACAATAAAAAAACTGTTCCAAACGAAACCTTAATAATTCAATCAAAATCCGAAATAACAGCTTCCTAAATTTTTCCACTTCAGGACTTGCTGCAGAGAGCTACTAAATACAATACTTCTACTAATGAATACTTCCGTGTTATATAACTCATACTATTTTAGAGGATGAAATATATGATAATTTTTCATTTTGATGAAACTGCTTAAATGATTGAATGGTTTTACAATTGGAGATAGAATGCAAAATGAAACAAGTATATACATGAAAAAATTGTAGTACCTCTATTGGCTGATAAGATTAGAGAGTCGCATTAGATGGTTTGGTCACATAAAATATCAGCCTTCTGATAATCCGGTCATGAGAGTAAATGTTTTAGATCTGACCTATATTAAGAAAGATTGAGACAGATCTAAAAAGACCTGGTTAGTAAGTATGAGAAATGACCTTCTTCTATTAGATTTATATGAGAATTTAACTCTTAATAAGAGAAAAATATTCATGTAGTCAAACCCACATAGTACGATAAAAGCTTGATGTTGTTGTTGTTATTCTATAGTCAAACCCACATAATAGAAACTATTTACATGACAAGATTTCAATCATATTCATTAAAGAATCAATGTAACATAATGATGTTCAGCATCAAAATTAAAAAAAAATCTGGGATACCAATGTACCATATTGATCTATTTTCCATCATCCTAAAGTTTCAGGTGAGGAAAAGCATTAGCCAAAGCAAATGTTTAAAGCCATACAAGGGGAGCAAATTATAGCCGACAATCTGCACAACCAGCCTCTACAGAAAGAAGAAAGCAACTAAACTGGAACTGATCCCTCCCTAAATAACAAAACCATTTACAAATAAAGTGATCCATGTCAGGTGTGTTGCTACATGCTGCTTTTTCAAATGGACATATTTGCAAAATAATATAAACTAAGGCTTCGTTTGGGATGGCGCTTTTTATGCTTCTTAAAGCAACTTTCTAGTAAAAAAATTAAAATTTTATACTAAAAAGCTGCTTTACGAAGCAGCAAGAAAGCTGTCCCAAACAAAGCCTAAGTTTACCCACCAATATGCCTAATGCTAATGTAAATTGCTTCAAAAGAATAGTATTTGCAGATGGAATAGCCACTTCTGAACTAAGTTTCAAGCAGAGATCAATAGGAAGCTGGCACTCTTACAGGAACCTATAAGAGTTTCAAATGGATGAGAATGTACTATAAACTGAAGGAATAAATTCGATAATTATGCTTTACTTTATAAATAAGGTCGATATGTTAAGCTTAGTGCAGTAGTTGGACAAAAACTATCTTACTCACTGGATTTTGCATTAAAAGGGAGCCTCCACTGATTCTTCCCAAACATCTCCACTTCCATTAGAAGCATCTTCCCCATCTTCTTCCATAGAAAGTCTAATGTATTCTTTATGTGCAAAGTGATCCCACTGAGTCAATGTTGGATTTTCACGCTCCTGAAACCATCACCAATTTAAATTTGCAGCCGACCGGATTGAGAAGCACAAGCACGCAAGTAATGCATAAATTAAAGAGGGACTTATATATAGATAATTAAATTCTAATGTATTTATATATCTAACACCAAAATTTTTATATTTATATAGCATCCTCGTGTCAAATTGCATCAAAATATATAAATTAAAAGATATATTTTACTTTAGATAAACTAATATTAATGATATTTTTAATGTCATTTATAGATTAGGGTGTTGTATAAATAAATATATAGAGTTAGATGTTAGATATGTAAATAAATAAGAATTTATAGCAATGTATGAAAATCGTCCTAAATTAAATAATGCTCACTTGACGGATAAGGAAAGGATCACGAGCTTCGAATGCCATGAATTTATTGAGATTGAAAAGTATGTTGAAAACATTTCCTGAAAGCTTGCATGCCTTTATATCACTTAGCGTAAAATGGGTTTCATTCTGCACATAAAACATTAGAATTAAGAAGGATTGGAGAAATTTCAAGCCACCAATAAGTGGCAAACCTTGTTAAGCTAATTGAGCATGGGTGGGGAAAAAAACCTCTGGAGCAACCATATCAACTATTTGGCATAAAATGTCTTCAAAAAGTACAGGCTCCTGTGTCATGCACTCCATCCGATGCAACTGCTCTTCATAGAAAAATTGGATCTCCGCAGGTGTTATAATACCATTTCCATCCAAATCGATACACTTGAACCTGAAATTTAATTAGGATTTTTAACGATTATATAAGCTAATCAAACTCTATCGTAGGTTGTCTTATGGTAAAAAGTAATCAATAAATCCTGAATACATCTCTTGAATTTTCTTGGAAAAAGGCAGCAGCAGCTCAACTTCGCAGTCTTACTTTTTTTTTCTTTTCAAAATGCACCAAATGATTTGGTGCATGACTTCGCCGTCTTACAAGACATCAAAAACATATTCAGAATTTTGAATCCTCTCAGAGAAAAATTGATGGGGACATCAGAGCATGAAGAGTATATCTAAGGCGTGGCCGTCGATCTACGGCCACGATCGAGTCGATGCGTTTTGAGTTATTTCATGTATTTGTTTTATTATGTTATTTGTTATTTATGTTGTAATTGTTTTTTTCCCATTTTACCCCTTGCTTAAGGTAAGTCGTATGTAAGCCCTAAGGGCAACGTCGTTTTTTATCTTTGAGTCCTTTTTGCACGAGGCTATTTATAGCCCTCAAGTTCTTCCTCTAAAGTTAATGATTGAATGATAAAAAAATTTGGTGCTATTACTTGAGTTCTTGAGAGATATTAAGAGTGCTTGGAGAGAGCGAGATCCCTAGGAGAGGGAATTTGGATCACCCACCAACCTTAGAGACGGTCGGGTTCGTGGTTTTCTTTGTTATCTATTTTCATTTCTCCTCATCCCCTACCCAACCGTCCGCCTAACCCCACCTCACTCCAAGCTGCCGGCCACCTTCATCCCCACCATCCTTCCACCGAAAACTCCCCAAGTCACCTCCACCTAGCCGTCGGCTCCCTTACCCGAACCCCAAGCAAGCCGCCAGCCCCTAGCCCCTTACCCTCTCTTGAATTTATTTCCTATTCTAGATTGCCATATGTATGGATAGATTTTGAATTCAAATTAACTCAATTTGAAATTTAAAATCTTTCATAAAATTATAAAATCTATTTTAGGAAAGTTTCCTAAATTAAATTCCATTTTAATTTCAAGTTAATTGGACTTCCTTTACCACTTTCCTTATTTAAGTCAACTTCTTTTGGAAAGGATTTGAATTTGAGATAAATCAATTTTAGATTTCAAATCTTTCCTTTTTCTCTTAATCCTATTTTAGGAAAGGTTCTTATTTAATTCAATCAATCAAATCATGAAGGATTGATTAATTAAAACCTTAACTCTAAATTTCAAATCTTTTATTTTCTCTTTATCCTATTTTAGGAAAGGTTCTTATTTAATTCAATCAATCAAATCATGATGGATTGATTAATTAAAGCCTTAACTCCAAATACATTGCATCTAGACACTTGCCCCCCCCATCCCCCCCCCTCCATCTCTTGGCCGAAATTCCCAAGGGCCCACCCACTTATTTCCCCTCCCAAAATTAACCCTATTTCTTTCCACTAAATCAACTCTTCTCACTTTGGAAATATTTTCAAACCCAAACCCCTCTTACCCGCCAACTCCCCAATCATCTTTGCTAAGTTTTTCTGCTACAACTCCATCCTAAAACCCCATCCGACTTTGGGTTTTCCGCTCTCCAAGTCTGCTGCCAGAAATTCCTACACCTATTCTTGATTTTCTATCAACTAGAAACTTCCCCAACTGTTGTCCTAGAATGACAGCTTACTGTCCATCAATTCCCACCGGCTCCTCTCATTGTACCACCATCGGAAAGGTTTCTCCCCGCTGTCCAACATCTCTCAAAGTCAAAACAACGACTTCTTGCATGGATGGCTGACCCAGAACGAGATTCCGGCATTGTCTACAAAAACCGAGGCTTCCTCGATCAACATTCTTTGACGTCAACCCGGAGATCGATAACACCGTCGACGAATATCTAAAGTGCATCACCTTCACCCTTGCCGGAGCCATTGAAGAACGACTTGGCACCGTTCATTGGAGGATTGCAACTCATCTCCCTTTTCTTGTATTTTCATTGTCTAACTTGTTTTTGTGATTTGATAGATTCATGCAGATCTTGTTCACCGAACTCTGCCGAGCTTAGTAAACATAGGGATTGAGTGCACTTTATTTGCTTATAATCTTATTGCTAGATTAGGGATTTTCGTTGAAAGCTATTATATTTTGCATGTCGTTGATTTTCTTTGTTATTTTGATGATTCAAAGCTCTTATTGTGCAGCTTAGCCTAAATGGAAGTGACCGCTCTTACGTTTTATTTTGTCGTTTTATTTGCTAATAGTTCTCATCATTATTATTTTAATCGATAAGTCGTGCAAGTTCTTATCAAGTTATTTCACGCATTGTAGTCCTACATCAAAATCAAACATAGAAATGAAGAAGTGGCTAGAAAAGTTTTAGATTGTTCATTCTTTCACTGGGCATTTATACACAAAACTAGATAGAAGAAGAAAAAGAAAATAAATGATTATAATAACAAACACAAAAATAATGAAAAGCTTCTAGCTAGACACCTTCAGCAGGTCTGCCTCCCAGCAGTTGCCTACCTAGCGATAGTTTCATCAATTTAGCAGTTATCATTGATGCTGAGGGTGCAATACATGGGCTCTTTCATTCCAATCTTATATACGAATCCATGGTAAAGGTATTTCCTTGTACGCAATAAATCCGTTGCCGCTTATTTTCCTTACGTAGCATTCCTGCCTGCCGCTTTTGATATGATGGCTCATCAACACTCCCCTTTAAATTGGATGGTAGAGATCTACCATTCCTAATTGGCTTATAATATTCTTGAATGTAGGGTTGCTAAGGCTTTTGGTGAACATCTTAGTAAATTATCTTCCTATTGGGAATTATGAAGATCAATCAAACTTCTAATTTTTCTTTTAGGAATCTTTTATCCACTTTTCACATGTTTGATACTATTATACGATCATGTTATACGTGATTGTAAGCAAAATTCATGACATTTATTATCATAGTATATCTTCATAGGCTCTTTCATCTCATTGCTAAATCTCTCAGAATGATTTTAATCCATAGAATTTTGTAGATATTTTGAGCAATTACTTTGAATTCGGATTCAACACTGGATTCTTGCTTCTTCATGTTATACATTTCTTTTGAGAAGTTTCCAATATCCTATAGTGGATTTCTTATCCATTCGTGACCCAACAAAATCAACATCAACAAAACCTTCAAGTTATGGAGTATCATATTTTTTCGAGCGAAATTTTTTTCCTTGACTAGATTTAAGGTACAAATCAATCATTATTTATCTTAATAGATCCAATAGCATATTTTTATGAAAAAAAAAAAATCCTTATTCTGATTGAGCAATTTCCCTGGAAAACAAATACTTAAGTTTGCCTAGTCCCTTGATTTCAATTTTTTTAGCTAGTTTTTTTATTCCTTTTCTTCACTATTTTCACTTGAAATAATTATATCATCAACATAACGAGAATTCAAAATTTTTCCATTAATAGAGCTTTATGAAGAGGATATTGTCTCCTTAACTTTGCTTGCACCTCATTCCATAAATGGCTTTTGTAAATCTACCCAACAAGGCCTTTAAGAATTGTTTCTAACTATAAAGTGCCTTTCTCAATCTATAAATCTTAGTTTTTATGAAAGAATTATTAAATCCAAGTGAATAATCTACATAAACTTCTTCAACATCCCCATGTAAGAAATCATTATTCGCATTATACCATTACACAGATCATCCAAAGTTAACAACAAGAGAAATAAAAAATGTGAATTGTATTTGGCAGATCGTACAATATGACGTTGATCGAACTGGATGATTGACAAAGACGAAATTCGATCGTCCCAGGGATCATCTTGGATGAACCTTGATTTATTGAACTAGTCGTACAATATGATGCCAATCGTACTAGACGATTGGGAGAGATGATGTTTGATCATCTCGGAGATAATCCTATATGATCTTAAGAATAATGAACTAATCGTATCGAACAATTCAAGTATCATATTGTACGACCAATATAATGTATTTAAACAGATCGTACTGTGACTCGTCCTTCGTACTAAACGAACTGGGATTTCTTAAACTAATCATTGTGTACGATCCCATATCGTACTGTACGAATAGAGTCGGCTATCTTGAATTTTAGGGTTAATTTGAGCCTTTGTTTAAAAATCATTCCTAATTCATGTATATGCTCATTTCGTATCCTGTCTCTAAGGGTAAATCCACTCATCCACCTGAGCATCTTCATCTCTGCAACACTTAACTTAGTATTATGCTTCCCTTTTAATGGCCAATATTTGGCACCATAAAACATTGCAGGTCTCGCCACCATCTTATAGAATTTTCCCTTAAGTTTGAGGGGAACTTTTCTATCGCACAACAAGCCCGATGCATTCCTCCACTTCAACCATCCAACTTGAATTCTGTTGATAATACCCCCATCTATTTCACCATCACTCTGAACAATAGATCTAAGATATCTAAAACGTGTATTCTTATTAATGACTCGATCGCCCAAAGTCACAATCCCCTCACTAGGTCTATTAATACTAAAATTATACTCCATATATTCAGTTTTCGATCTACTCAAGTGAAAACCTTTAGACTATAAGGTTGAGCTTCATAATACAAGTTTACCTTCAACTCCCTCTCTAGTCTTATCGACAAGAAGAATATCATCAGCAAAAATCGTACACCATGGTACATCCTCTTGCAAATGTCTGGTAAGAACATCCAAGACTAAAGAAAAAAGGTATGGACTTAAGGCTAATCCTTGATATAATCCAACCGAAATAGGAGAATACTTGGTCAAACCACCTTGTCTTTGAACAAAAGTAATAGCTCCTGCATACATATCTTTAATGATTTGAATATAAGCATTATTAATTCCTTTCTTCTCAAGACCTCTCCATAGCACTTCTCTTGGAATTTTATCATATGATTTTTTTAAATCAATAAATATCATATGTAGATCCTCATTATTCTCTTTATATATTTCCATCAAACCTCTCAATAAATGTATGGCTTCCATAGTAGACCTACTTGTCATGAATCCAAATTGATTTTGAAAAAATATTAGTCTCATGCC